TGTCCTCTTCCTGCACGTAGTTTGTAAGTAGCGTGGGCCAGCTCCTATCTTCCTTTCCTCCCTGGTTGACATCACCCTCTGTCCAAACTTCCTGGAATTGGAAGCTGAGGTCAGGTTCATTGTATCTACTACAGTAACCCAAAGTGAGAGACTGAGATGGATACCCACCTCTGTTTCAGAGCTTAATGATACTGACACAGATAGATTATTGTGAAAGTTTGGCTGATATATTACCAACTAGCTCCTTTTTAGCACTTCTCTGCCACAATGTGTGTACATGCAGACATTCAATCAGGCCAATGTTGCTTCTGCTTGCTTTGGAAAATCCTGAAAATATAAGAAGTAGGAACCCTTTTGGTAGGTGGTCTCAGACTAATTTTCAAACTGTTATGAGTGAAAATAGCACAAATCAAAGTAGACCATTATCTCTGTTGGAGGAGCTAAAGAAGGATTAAAGAAATATATGTTTAGATTTTAGTGTAGCACCAAAAGCACACAAACTTAATTCCTACATCCAAGGTTACTGCAAGTTCATTGTGTTGAAAATAATTCTAAGAACTCTCCAGAATTTTTTGTTGTTATTTTAGAATCTGTTTCATTGCTTTTGACCATTTCTTGACACGAACTGAAATAACAGCTGAAGTTCTGAAATATATTGCTTTTGTTGAGTGTATTTTTAAATATTTATTTTTATCTACTTGAAAGACAGAGAAAGACACAGTGTAAGAGATAGATCTTCCTTCTACTGGTTCACGCCCCACAGGCCTGCAACAGCCAGAGCTGGACTAGGCCAAATCCAGGAGCTCAAAACTCCATCAGGGTCTCTCATATGGGTGGCAGGGACCTAGATATAAGCCATCATTAGCTGCCTCCCAGGACGAATGAGTAAGAAGCTGTCCACTGTGCCACAATGCTTGCCCTTCATTTTATATGTTAACTATCTTGATAATTAACAGGGACTTAAATCTTGTTTTTAAATATCTATTTATTTGAAAGGCAGAGTTACAGGGGCAAAGGGAAGACAGAGAGAGGCAGGTGGGGGGAATGGATCTTCCATGCACTGGTTCACTCTGAAAATGGCTGCAGTGACCATGGATGGACTGAAAGCCAGGAGCCAGGAGCTTCTTCTGAGTGTCCACATGAGTGCTGGTGCCAAGTACTTGAGTCATCTGCTGCTGCCTTCCCAGGCACATTAGCAGGGAGCTGGATCAGAAGTAGAGTAGCCAGGACTTGAACTAGTGCCCAAATGGGATGTCGGCATTACAAGCAGCAGCTTTACTTGCCAAGCCACAGCGGTGGCCTCTAAATCTTGTTTTTAGGATGTTAGATATCAAAAACATGTTCTGATAGAGATGATAGGGATGATACTGAGTTAAGACTTTTATTGGTGATACCTGTGGATCTCAGGATTTCCAAGATTCCTACTTGTACAGTTGTCTTCCCTATCTTGGGATGTTTCAACACCTCCAGTGCATGCCTGTAACTAGAGATAATACCAAATCTTACAATTTTTCCCCTAAAGTTAGGGGCAGGTAATATATACATCATGGATACACTGGATCAAGTGTCCTGGGTGGTATAATATGAGATTATATAACACAACTAAGAATAGCATGCAGTTAAGTTTATGGGCTGTTACTTGGATTTTCTATTTAAAGTTTTCTGTGTTTGACTAGATTTGTGAGTAATATGATACATATGGTGAATTTCAGTGAAAACAAGGAGCATCTTTGCTATTAACAACCCAGTGATGCCTTCAGCTCCACTAAGGAAACAGCCCATTCCTAAGAGGTCCTGGCAAGCAGTAGGCACTGTGCTAGCTCCCTGATCACAGTAGTAGAACAGGGACCAGCAGTGATGGTTCAGGTATATGGGAGGAGATCTGGACTGTGCATCAATTGTATACCTAAAAACAACAATCTGCATGACCTTGAGGTAAATTCGTTCTCTATTTTGTTTGAATTCCAACTTCAAATGATTTTATTCTGTTACTTCGCCTCAGGAGGCTGCTGTAACAGTAAAGAAAAAATACACACACACACAAACCACTTATTTACTAACTCAGCAAATATATAGAGACTTCTTAATATGTGCAAGACAGGTGTCGGGGCACGGGGAGGTGACAATATAGCTATAGTCCTACCCTTGCAGAATTTACATTGTGAGGGACAAGGGGAGGTACTGCTAAAATGGGCCATAAATAGAAAAAATGGTGATAACCACACTGACCAACTACAATCATTCTATGCTCAAAGCACCAGGTCACCAACCCAGTTGGGGAGTATGCTAATTTTTTACAGCCCAGATTTCAGAATAACAGAGACCTATGTTCAAATTCCTATCATATCCCTATGTTAAATGTCTGAAATTGATCAAATTCCTCAATCTTTATAAACTTCTGATTCTCCATCTTTGCTACTGTAATAGGGAGTCTGTGAGTGTCACATTGGGTAAGTCTTTGTGTCATGGAGTCCCCAAAACTACACCCAGGCCTGGGAATTCACCAGGAGGACAAATGGGGCTCAGTGTGTGGCTTCTTTCATGGCCAAGATCAGTTCTACTAAAAACATAAAAAGAAAAATCAGCAGAAAAGTTCAGGGCACAAATCTGTTCATGTCAGGCATGAACATCCAAGAGCTCTCCTCCTGGAAGTTACACAGGATGTGCTCATTCCTCCAGGAATGATTGCTAATATCATGTGTGAAGGACTGCCTACCAGAGGAGCTCACTGGAGACTCAGTGCCCCTAGTTTTGATGGGGGATTGGATACGTAAGGACCTGTGATTTGCATATATGAAAACTCCAGGTGCTTATGCAGGCATTCAGAATACACCATATTTCTTGCAAAAATAGTTTAGATGGAGTGAACCACTCTTGTGACTTAGCTATTGACTGGAAACACTCCCAGGGCAGATTCCCAGATGCCAACCAAGGGCCAGCCTTGCACGTAGACCTTCCTAAGGATAGTAATCTGAGGTCTGTGTTAACGTTTTTCTGCACCATGTGCAAAATGTTGCTTAGCACCCAGCTTAGCTTGTGATGAATGCTACCTGTTACTATAGTAATTACTGGTACTTCCTATGAACTGTCTGCCTGACACTTCTGCTTCATTTAAAAATGAAGACAAAGAAAGTAAAAGAACTTAACAAGGGGCTACCCCACCGAGGGGCTACCCTACCTGCATTGCCCACTCTGCAGTGGGCCTTGCCTACAGCACATGAAGACCAACATGTCTCAGTGGCAAAAAAAAAAAAAAAAGAAAAGAAAAAGAAAAAACACAACAGCAAAGAGCAGGTTTACATTGTGGGTTATGTGCATGAAGGAGGAAATGTTCCTTGAAACTTTTATCGTGCTCATAATTCCCTCCGAATCAATCATGGCTGCATTTACCAGACAGTTATTGTCGTGGAAACTGCTCTTGGCCTCACCTTGGGCCATTAGCTAACAAAAGTAGTTGTTAGCTGCCTGTAATAACCAATATTGCACAGATTATTAGATTTTTATCAAAAAGGCCAGTATCTGACACAGAGGATTTTGGGAGATCGCTGGGTTCCTTCCCGAGTCCTCTCAGCTCGCTCTCACTCATCTACGTTTGTCTCCATGTTGAAGGCTGGAGCTTCTGGCTCAGTTTTTCCCCTAAGAAGCTGCTACATGGTGTTGTTTCTAATGATTATTTTTTAACCAAACATGCTTTCTCTGAAGCCTGAGTAGAAGTGACTGTGTTTGATGGTGCTCCAATTCCTGGAACTCCTTTTGTGTTTGGCATGAATTTAGGGAATGGCCTTCTTTGCTCTTGAGGGCAACAGAGCACCTGCCAATGTCAATGCTGGCTGAACCAAGGCCCCTGGGAGACAGATGGCTGAAAAGAACTTCTAGAGCCACAAGCCGTAGGTGAAGCCTCACTTACCTGTACAGAAGCCCAGAATTCCTGTGGAATGGCTTGAGAAATCAGAGAAATCAGCTTCATGCCTTTTTTTTAAGCTTTATTTACTTATTGTGAAAGAGTCACAGAGAGAAAGAGTTTCCATCTGCTGGTTCACTCCCCAGATGGCCATTGGCTTCATGTGTTTTGGGGGATAGCAGTAAGAACAGAAGTAATGGCTTTGATGGGAAAGGGAGGTCCTTTCCCATCAAATGAAGAAAGAACCTTGGAATGGAGAAAAATTATACATTTTATTTAAGAAATAAGGCTCCGCATATTCCTCCTGGGACACAGGCTAGTGAGAAGCCCTTTTCCATAGCCTCTTTCTCTTACTCATCAGTAAAACACAGTAAAGACAGAGAAATCTGGTAAACTTGTAAAAATGGGCAAATAATTCAACTGAAGTAGTCATTGTTTTCTCATACCTGTGGTGTTTTACTCTCATTGACATCAAAAGAATCATCCAAAAATAACACAGATTTGCTTATTTAAAATAAATTTTAAACCAACTGTATATATGAAGTGATGCTAGTGCCGACGTTGTTAGTATACTTGGGTTAAGCCAGCCTGTGATGCCAGCATTCCATATGGGCACTGGGTGGAGTCCCAGCTGCTCTACTTCCAATCTAGCTCTTTGCTAATGTGCCTGGGAAAGCAATGGAAGATGGCCCAAGTGCATGAACTCCTACACCCATGTGGGAGACCCAGAAGAATCTTCTGGCTCCTGGCTTCAGTTTGGCCCAGCTCCTGGAGTTGTGGCCATTTGTGGGGTAAACCAGTGGATGGAAGATCTTTCTCTGTCTCTCCTTCTCTCTCTCTCTCTGTTTCTCTCTCTCTCTGTAACTCTGCCTTTCAAGTTAAATATATATTTAAAAATATAATTTGCTTTAAAAAATCTTGAGGTACCATATATCTGAAGCCAGGGCAAAAATCCATAAGCAAGAAACATTTTCAAACTCTATATAGATTTTTTAATCAATTTTTTAATGGACAGAAATTATATATTTTTATTGTGTCCTCACCACAAGATGGTAAGTATGTGAGATAATGTAGTGCACAAGTTAATTAGTTGTATTGATACAGTATGTATGTAGGTATTCCACAATATATACACACACATATATATATATGTGTGTATGTGTATATTTGTATGTACATACATACATATATTTATATGTATTTCAAAACAACATGATAAATGAGGTCATCCAGTATTTGTCTGTCTTTGTTTATTTCACTTCAGATAATATTGTAAATACATACATTCTTGAACATATGTTGATCGTTCAGGAAAATGCAGTCTGTCTTAGCTAGACTCACTACCTAAATAGCAATTGCTATCCAAACATCTCACCTAATATGAAGTCTCCTATTGCACAGAATATGCCCATTGAGACTCAAAATAATGTAATCTGTCTTCAGAAGCAATTTTGTCCATTGATAGAAACAGTAAATTTGTGTTGGGGATGTATTAAGTGGTAGAAAGATACCTATAATTAGTAATATGATACTTTACCCATCTACACAGCACATTCAGAGATTCTATGGCTATAATGAAGGCAGAGCAAGTATTGTCCCTTATTTTCAAGCACATAATATGTGTAGAATTGAAGTTCTATAGGATAAAGGAAAAGATCAGACAACTGTGGCAGGCATTTGGCCTACTAGTTAATACTCACCTGGGGCCCCTTCACATCCTATGTTGGAGTACCTGGGTTCAAATCTTGGCCCCATTTCATATTCTGGATTCTTGCTAATGTGCACCCTGGGAGCCTGCAATGCAATCTGGGTCTCCCACATGGGTGGCAAGAACTCAAGTCCTTCAGCCTGGCCCAACCCCAGCTTTTGCTACCATTTGGGGAGTGAAACGGTGAACACATGATCTCTTTGTTTCTGTCTCTGCCTCTCTGCCTTTCAAATTAAAAAAAAAAAAAAAGAGAATAAAAATTATTTGAAAGACTATAAAGTCAAATTTGTGTCAGACTTCAAATGAGAAATGTCCATCTGTTTTCTTCCTTTTTACTTTTAATTATTGGTATATCCTAATTGTGTTTATGGGGTATAGTGTGATACTTAATTACATGTATTTGTCATTTCTTTGCATTGGGAACCTTCAGATTCCTTTTGCCTAGGTGTTTATAAAATATCTAATAAGTTATGAACTGCAGTCATTGTACTGTACAAACTGAGCGGTCTCCAAAGCCAGCTAGGATGCAGACAGTGAAGGGTAAATGGCCTGAAAAGTGTACCCTCCCCGCCTCCAGGAGGGAGAATATGGACTCCAGAAGAGGGGTGCCCTTGTGCCAGCCGTGGCCTTAGATCTTCATACAGAATCTCTTCAGTCATCTGCACCTGTCAAAATGATGGTGAAAATGAGAAGTTGTCCTCTAACATGGTGCCAATAAAAATATTCTAATTGGACTTTGTTCAGCAGGAAATATTTGAGGAAGGGAAATAAGGAATAAGAAAAGGTAAAGAACTAAAGAAAGGAGGAAGGAAAAAAAGAAGGAGTAGGGAGATGGGAGAAAATCCCACAGAAAGAGTTGGCTCTCACACCCTAAATGCATTCTGGATGCAATAACAAGTTTTCATCAGCATTTTCCTCTTCTCATTTTATTTTGGAGGTGGAATAAATTAAAATTCTGACTTTTTAGAGCTAGGATGTGTTCATGTTTGTACTTTTACCTGCCAGTTTGGAACTTGATGCTGCTTATACCAGTATTCCAAAGAAAGGAAAGAGAAGCAGCTTTTTTTATTATGTAGGAGCTGGCATTTGTTTCTCCTTCCCTTTTGTTCAGATGGCCTTTTCAGACTCTGAGTGATCCCCACTGTGTACTGAGGGTGACAAGGCACAATGGCCCATTGTTAGAGAGGATGCAAACCAATTAACAATTGAGGATAATGGAAGAGCCCTCCATACAATGCACTGACCCCCAAATCACAATACAGGCTAATCATCAGAAGTGGAATAGGCTGCTGTATGTCTTCCTATTTGTTGGCCAAGTGTCCTGTAAACTAGTTTTATCCTTGGACTGGAAGTTCATTAGCATTCCTGGTTGGGCTTATCAAATGTAAATTAAGTTCAGATGTCACTCAAAAAATCTGAACCCTGATTTGAGTTTCCTGTTGAACCTGGTGCTTCATTTCAAGTGTGTGTATCCACACACACACACACACACCTTCCTAACATTTGTGAGTTTGTGATCCGCACTTTCACATGGTAGATGGTGACAAGGATTCAGATTAATAATCTGGGAGTGTGGTGAAGTTTGACGTTTTGCTCTGGGAATGTGAGCATTGACAATATTTTTCCTGTTCCTTTAGGTCCAGTGGAGCATGTTCATCTCCGAGTTCCATTTGTTGCCATAAGAAATAAAGAGGTCAACATCAGTGCTGTTGTGTGGCCCAGTCAGCTGGGGACTCTGACCTATTTCTGGTGGTTTGGTAATAGTACAAAGGTTCGACCCTTTCTTTAGATCTACATGGAATTCTCCTGTTGTCCAACTTCTGTGTTGATGTTGGGGACCCTGGGGTTGAGGCAATGAGGAATGAAACTATGAGCCATAGTATTGAATCAAGCAAACCTACCAACTCCAAGTTCAGTACTTTAATAGGGAAAGTTTAAATGATGCTAAGGAAGAAGAAATAGTTTGAGAAAGTATACAAACCTGTATGTTCTTGCTCCTCAAATAAAAATTGCAATTGCTTCATTTATTTTAATCCTGGCCTTCCACTCATTAATTCCATAATATCAAGGAAATTACTTAGCAGCTCTGAGATTAAATGACCCCATCTGTCAAATGTAAAATAGATACCTAAGTGTGGGGTTGTGAAAATTAAATGGGATAACACAGGTAAATGGAGTAAGACATGTGATGAGCTAACATGAGTAAAGAAACCTTTTCAACACTTGCTAATATTCTATAAATGTTAATGTTTTTAGACAAAATACTGAGGTTGTCATGTTTCCAGGAAAAATAACTAACTAGGTCAAATTCTAGACTTTGCACATATTCCCAGGACATGGTGATGGTGATGCCTGTGTTGAGAATGACAGCAGTTGTATGATAGAATCAGGGGAAAAAATTGAGTGCCTCAATTTAATTATTGTTAATATTCTTCTGTTTGGACAAATATATAATGGCATATACCTGCCATTATAACCTAACATAGAAGTTTCACTGCCCTAAAAATGCTCTGTGATTCACTGATTCATCCGTCATCACACGAAATCTCTGGCAACCACTGATCTTACTGTCTCTGTGGTTTTGCCTTTTCCAGAATGCTGTACTTGAAGTTGAGGTCATATAGTATGTTGCATTTTTAGACTGGATTCTTTCACTTAGAAATATGCATGCACATATATGTCATGTGTTTTCATGAATTGAGAGCTTATTCATTTTTAATGCTGAATAAGAATCTGTTGTCGCCGGCGCCGCGGCTCAATGGGCTAATCCTCCGCCTTGCGGCGCCAGCACACCGGGTTCTAGTCCCGGACAGGGCGCTGGATTCTGTCCCAGTTGCCCCTCTTCCAGGCCAGCTCTCTGCTGTGGCCAGGGAAGGAAGTGGAGGATGGCCCAAGTGCTTGGGCCCTGCACCCCATGGGAGACCAGGAGAAGCACCTGGCTCCTGCCTTCAGATCAGCGCGATGCAGCGGCCATTGGAGAGTGAACCAATGGCAAAAGACCTTTCTCTCTGTCTCTCTCTCTCACTGTCCACTCTGCCTGTCAAAAAAAAAAAAAAAAAAAAGAGAGAGAGAGAGAATCTGTTGTCTGGATTACCAGTGTATTCACTCAGTTACTAAAGGACATCTTAGTTACCTCCAAGTTTAGGCAATTATAAATAAAACTGCTGTGTGTTCAGATTTCTGTGTGAAGTATGTTCTCAATCTTTGTTTGATAAATAATAAGACTGAAATTGCTTGGTTGTATTGAAACAGAATGTTTGTTTTGTAAGACACCACCAATCTGTCTCCCAACATGGTGGACGGTTTTACATTTCCACCAGCAATGAATGAGAGTTCCTGTTACTCCACATGATCACCATCATTGGGTGGTGTCATGTTCCAGATGTTGGCCATTCTAATCAGCTTAGTAATATCTCATTGTTGTTTGCATTTGCATTTCTCTGATAACATATCATGTGGCACATTTTCTGTGTGCTTATTTGCCAACTATATATCAAATTTGATGAGATGTCTATTGAGATCTTTTGTTTGTTTTTTAGTCTGGTTGCTTTTTTGTCATTGTTGTTGAGCTTTAAGAGTTCTTTGTGTATATTAGATAACAATTCTGGTATATCTTTTGCTAATATTTTCTGCAAGCATATGGCTTGACTTTTCATTCTCTGGACAGTGTCTTTTGTATTTTTAATGAAGGCCAGTTTATCAATTATTTCTACAATGGGTCATATGATTGGTGTTTTATCTAAAATGTAATTGCCATCATAATGTCATCTAGGTGTTCTCCTAAGTTATCTTCTAGAGTTCTATGGCTTTGCATTTTATATTTAGATCTTGGATTCATTTTTAGATTCATTTTTTGGTGGGTATGTCTATACCTAGATTCATGTTATTTTTGCAACTGCTTGTCTAGTTGTACAAGTACCATATTTTGAAAAGAGTATCTTCACTCTGTGATATTGCCTTTGCTGTTTCCTCAAATATGAAATGGATTTATTTCCGGCTTTCTATTAAGCTACATTGATTTATTTGTTCTTTTACCAGTGCCACTCTGCCTCAATTAATATACATTTACTATTGGTCTTCAAGTCAGGTGGGGTCAGTCATTCAACTTTCTCTTCTTCGATATTATGTTTGTTAATCTGAGTCTTTTCCCTTTCAATATAAACTTTAAAATTCTACTGTTAACTAAAGAATAACTTGCTTGGAGTTTGGGGTTCCAATGAATCTGTACATCAAATTGCTAAGAACTGACATCTTGACAGTATTGAATCTTCCTAGCCATAAATAAGAGGGTTTCAAAAAATTCACGGAAAATTCACATTATCACTTAATTCCATTTTCCACAAACTTTTTCGAAACTCTCTTATTTCTTTTCATTTATTTAGTTGTTGTTTAATTTCTTTGAGTAGAGTTTTGTAGTTTTCTTTACATATGAGAGTACCTCAAAAAGTTCAAAGAAAGTGGAATTAAAAGTTTATATTTGTCAAAATATTTGAAATCCATATTTAATGTTTATAATCATTTTCCATGAACTTTTGTAGGTCTGGCACATATTTTATTAAATTTATCATAATTATTTCATTTTGATAGTACTCATATAAATGGTATTGTATTTTTAATTCAAATTTTTCTTGATCATTACTGGTATATGGAAAGTGATCAACTTTTGTACATTAACTTTATATTCTGCAACGTTGCTATAATCACTTTTTATTCCCAGGAATTTATTTATTGTTGTTAATTATTTTGGATTTTGTTGGATTTTAAAAAAAATCATTGATAGTTGATATGGTTTTTCACTTCTTAAATGTTTGGTAGAATTCACTAGTAAAACCATTTGGGCCTGGTGCTTTCTGTTTGGAAAGATTATTAATGACTGGTTCAATTTCAGAAAGTTATGGGCCTGTTAAGATTTTATTTCTTTTATGTGAAGTTTGGCAAGTTCTATCTTTCAAGGAATTGATCCATTTCATCTAGGTTATCAAATTTGTGGTAATGAAATTGTCCATTGTATTTATTTATTATCTTTTTAATATGCATAGGATCTGTAGTGATGCCTTCATTGATTTCTGATATTAGTAAAATATGTCCCCTCTCTCTTTTTAAATTAACCTGGCATGAGGCTTATCAGTTTTATTGTTACTTTCACAACAGCAGCTTTTGGCTTCATTTATTTTCTCTATTGATTTCCTGTTTTCAGTATCATTGCTTTATGTTCTAATTTTTATTGTTTCTTCTGCTTATTTTGGATTGAATTTGTTTTTCCTTTTTTAGTTTTCTAAAGTGGAAGAATAGGTGCTTGTTTTTAGATTTTTCTCTTTCACTACATGTGTACCCAGTGCTATAAAGGTCATTCCAAACTCTGCTTTTGCTATTTCCTACCAATTTTGATAGGCAGTGTTTCCATTTTTATTTAGTTAAAATATTTTCAAATTTTCTCTTGTGATTTCTTCTTTGATGATCTATGTATTGTTTAAAAGTGTGTTGATTAATCTCCACATATTTTTCTATTTTCCAGTTATCTTTCTATTATTGATTTATAGTTTAACTCTGTTGTAGTCTGAGTTAGGGCATTATATAGTTTCTCTCCTTTTAAACTTGTTAAAGTGTATTTTAGGTCCAGAATGTGTTCTGTGTTGGTAAACATCTGTATGAGTTTGAGAATTATGTTACTCTGCTATTGTTGATGACACAATCTATAGATGTCTATTATATGCAGTTGATTGACATAGTTCAACTATGTCCTTACTGATTTTCCTCTCCTTGCCTAGCATATCACTTGTATCTTCAAAATTACTTTATTTAGTGGTTGTCCTAGAATTTGCAATGCACATTTACAATGAATCCAAGCCCATTTTCTGTGACTCTATCCTACTTCTAAGGTAATAGGGTAATACAACTACCTAATAAGATAATCATAATTCTTCCCTATTACCTCCTGTATCTTGTTGTCACTTAATTCACTTATATATAAGAATCCATTAGATATATACAGAAGCATGCATAATCAGTTCATTGTTACAATTATTGTTTTAAATAAAATATTGTTAGGTCAACTAAAAAGAAGAGGAAATGTGTTTTATTTTACTGTTACTTATGTCTTCTTCTGTGCTCCTTGTTTCTTTATGTGGTTCAGAATTTCTGACCAGTATTTACCCTCCCTTCTTTATAAAGAATTTAACAGTTCTGGAAGGCACATCTGCTGACAACAAATTCCCTCAATTTTTATTTATCTGACAACATCATTTTTTCTTCTTCATTTTTGAAGAATAATTTTATGAGGTACAGAGTTGGTGATTTGGTGCTTTTGATCTCAACACTTTAAATGCATGACTCCACTTCTTCACTGCCTGGTTTCTATGGAGAAGTTGGAAGTAATTCTTGTCTTCTCTAGAAGTAAATTGTTTCTTTCCTCTGGCTTCTTACAAGCTTTTTTCATAATCTTTTATTTGCAATGGCATGAAAATGATATACTGAGGTGTAGGCTTTTCAGCATTTATCCTGTGCGATGTTCTCTGAGTTTCATGTGTCTGTTTTTTGGTATTTGTTGTTATGTTGAGGGAGATTATGGGTCATCACATTGTTTCATATATTTCTCCTTTTCCCTCCCTCTTTTCCCTCTGGGTTTAACTTTACATATATTTATACATTTTTATTTGTCTTGAACCCTGTTTATATATTCTGCTTCTTTTGCAAAAATTTGTTCTCTTTGATTTGCAGTTCGAATGTTTTTATTGTAATATCTTCTAGCTGAGAGATTCTTTCCTCAGTTGTGTTCTTCTTTCTATAATTTTTATTTAATGTATTTGAAAGGTGGAGTGACACAGAGAGACATAAAGGGAGAAACAGAGATCTTCCATCCCTTGGTTTACTCCTCAAATGGCTGCAGTAGCCAGGGCTGGGCCAGGCTCAAAGTGAGAAGGCTGGAGCTCCATCCAGGTCTCCCATGTGGGTGGCAGGGGCCCTAGTACTTGGACCATCTTCTGCTGCTTTTCCAGGTGCACGTGAGGAAGTTGGATCAGGAGCAGGGGAGCTAAGCCTTGAACTGGCACTCTGATATGAATGGCAGCATTGCAGGCAGTAGCTTAACCTGCTGCACCACAGAACAG